AAAAAAAAAAAAACGACCAAGTAATGACCAAAAAAAAAAACGAAGCATCCATACGCGGCAAAAAAACTTTCGCCACATGCACTCTTTTTTTTGGGGGGGGGCGGGGTGGGGGAATCTCCCTAACATGGCCCAGAAGGCCCATGCAGGCTATCTGAAGGGTCCTCGCAGACATGTAGCGCAGACCTCCCCACCAAAATCGAGGCAAGCAGTGAATATGAAATAGAGCACGAGCTGGCCGAATATATATACCCGAGATTCAAATTCAGGTCTGTGTTTCAGCAGTTATGGGTTGCTCACATAGCTAGGGCCTGTTGGTCTCTGCATGTGACTCTTAGGGCTTGGCTGCACTACTCACCAAATGTGCAAAACTAAAATGAATCTTCTGCAGAACATGGAATAATATGCCGCCATATATTTTGTCTTTTGCGCATGTGGTGAGTAGAGGCCCTCAGGGCCACTGCACGTATTCCTAAAGAAAGAAAAACGAAAAGAAAAAAAAAAAAAACGAGAAAAAAGAAAAACGAGAATTTTTTCTCGTTTTTCTTTTCTTAGGAATACGTGCAGTGGCCCTAAGGGCCTCTACTCACCACATGCACAAAAGACAAAACATATTGCGGCGTATTATTCCATGTTCTGCAAAAGATTCATTATAGTGTTACACATTTGGTGAGTAGTGCAGCCAAGCCCTAAGAGTCACGTGCAGAGACGAACATGCCCTAGCTACGTGAGCAACCCATAACTGCTGAAACACAGACCTGAATTCGAATCTCTGGTATATATTCGGCCAGCTCATGCTCTATTTCATATTCACTGCCTACCTCGATTTTGGTGGGGCGGTCTGCGCTACATGTCTGCGAGGACCCTTCAGATAGCCTGCATGGGCCTTCTGAGCCATGTTAGGGAGATTCCCCCACCCCGTCCCCGAAAAAAAAAAGGAGTGCATGTGTGTGTGTGTGTGAATATCTGTGTATTAGTGTGCGTATGTATATGTTTGGGTGGGGGTATTTCGTGTGTTTTTTTTTCCCTTCTTTTTTTGAATGCCACGCGTCCCAGGGTGGTGCACGATGCGCGCATGGTGGGAGTGGGGTGCGCGTTCGATTTTTTCCTGCCCCCTACCACCTGGCGCGTTTGAACGCGTTTGAACGCTCGCAGAAGGGGATTGAACGAGCGTGTTTGAACGAGAACGCGCGTTCACGGCGTTCAAACGGCTACACAAGGGGAGAATGAAACTCCTTTTGAGCATTTCACAAGAGGTTATAATATGAATAGACATCAAAGAGACTGCTAGTTCTTTAGGAAAAGATTGTCCATGCTATCGCAAGCCCTAAACCCTAGCCCCACGCCTCTACAACCCTAAAGCGTAACTCCAGCTTTCCACAGGCAGC